GTTAGTAGTGTTGCTGTCCTTTGTAAACCACGTATTAGTTAAAAAGTCAACTTTTCATGGTGTCAGAAAAACTGCCCTGTTTTATGGCGATGCATGTTGCAGCTGATCCAAGACAGTTTATTATTTAACAGCTTATTTAGTAAAAAAGTAAAGAAGTAAAAAAAGGAACACTTCATCCTTCAGTTGTTCGCAAAACATCAAAATCAACACATTTGGAGACACAAGGTTTTCAATGAACAGGAAGCAACTAGTAACTAAAGCTGTCAGACAAATGTAGTGGGGGAAAAAATACAATATTTTCTTCTGAGATGTATGAGTAAAAGTGTAAAGTTGCATAAAATGGCAGTTCTCAAGTAAAGTACAAGTGCCTCATAGTTGTTCTTTAGTAGAGTAAATGGTCTGCGCTTTTTTAGCAGCTCTCTAGAATTCCAACCGCTCAAAGTGCTATGACACTACATATGTCACATTCACCCATTCACACACACATTCATACTCTGGTGGCCGTAGCTACCATACATGTGCCACCTGCTACTCAGGAACTATTCATGAGCTCTCACACAACGATGAATCGGCCATCGGAACCAATTTGGGGTTCAGTGTCTTGCCCAAGGATACATTGGACTGGAGGAGCCGAGGATTGAACCAGCAATTTTCCAATTGGTGGACGACCCACTCTACCTTTGAGCCACAGCTGCCCGTCACTCAGGTATTTGTACATAGTTACATTCCACCACTGTAATGAAGCAAGTAAGTAATTGAAGTAATGAAGTAGTTCTGCTTTACTATAACTAATTACCATTTTGTCTTTGTAACCCAGGTGAAAACCAGGTTGACTAAGTTAAAAGTGTAATATGATTGTGATTATGAATCTTTTCATTTACACAAAAGAAATGCACAAAGTGACATGTAAATGTAGATAAATATATGTCAGGTGTATTGAAGACATGTATACAGACAACTTGAATCTAAAAATAACGTTATTTCATCATTTTGTTAAAAGGAATCATATATGTGTTGAATGTGTAAAATCTGAGGTACACTTGAAGGCAGCTTGTCAACCAGGTATCGTACGAACAGTCAACAGCCAATCAGATGCCAAGTTCAGTCTATTGTGGGAAGTGACCTTGTGCGCAGCCGCAGTAGTTTTCTCTTTCTTTTCTGCCTCGGACGTCGCAGCGAGAAGCTACGCACGCACTGAGCAGAAGCATCAAGATATTGAAGCTGTTTCTCATCATTAAACTGACTAAGTCAGATGTATACAGCCTTGTGCCGTGTTTAATCCGACCCAGGAGGAGTCTGACGCTGATTTGAGGCAGCATAAAACGTTAATCACGTCGGTAAGATGAAAGCTCCTTCACTGTTGCGCAGCTTGCTAATCGCACTCTGCTAGCTCCGTGCTACATGTTGCTAATGGCTAGTATCAATGTTTACACAGGCATACACCCTCTCATCTTGCATAGGCTGACCAAACGTCCTCTTTTGCCCGGACATGTCCATTTTTCACGTCCTGTCCAGGGCATCCGGGGGGTGTTTATAAATTGATGATAATGTCTGGTTTTTCTTGTGTGTGTGCGTAATCCCCGAGAGGCTGCCTTATCGGCGGATCTCCAACACTCACAACGAGGAAGCAGCAGTATTCTAAGCTTCCAAGATGCCAAAGCGCAAGTGCAGCTTCACAGATGAACTGCAGAAAAAATTCTCAACTTACCATCCCGACCCGGTCGGGATATATGGGAGGCTGAGTGCACCGTGTGCAAAGCTGGCACATATGATTCTGTGTCTAATAAAGGTGCCGGGGACCTCAAAGTTGGATTTTCTAATTCATAAGAGGTATTATTTAGAACATTATTTCATAATATTTAATTATTTATTTGTCCAGTAAGACTTGAAAAGATAGCTATTATTTTACAAGTTGATTTTTCTAATACAGAAGAGACATTATTTCTATCATTATTTCATTCCAGAGATTTTACATTTATTTTACATTTATATTTATTTTTGTACAAATGAAACTTGTAAAAAGATTATTATTTTAGGCATAATAAAAGCAAGTTGAGTAACCTCTGAGAAGCCTATCCAAATTTCTGTCTTTGAGAGATATTATTTTGTAATATAACTGAATTTTCTATCCATACATATAAACTTTAAATATATTAAAATTATAAGGCATCTTTGAGTAAACTGCGAGTATCATTTAAGTAGCCTATCTCGTGGCCGGGGCAAGTGTCCTCTTTTTTGGAAATCAAAATATGGTCACCCTAATCTAGCAGAGAGCCTGAACCTTGACGTCGCTCAGTAGTGGAGCGCATGAGAAATTGGTGAGATATCTTTTGTCTGTTGACGTGTTAGTTGCTGCTGCTGTTCACTAATGCTGTGGGGAAAATGTTAAATTTAATCTCCATTATTAGTATTGAGTGTTTATTTGAGTCATGAAAGCACCTTGGTATGTGTATTAGCACACTAAAATGCACATTTCTTATTTGTTTCAGCCACATAGCTATTTTGTGCTTATGTGTGAGATGTTTTAAGAGAGAAAGTCAATGTAAAATGGTATATTTCACGCACACAAAACAAACAGGAATTTATTCATGTGTAGAGTGTTAAAGTTAATCATTTTACTCTTTATGTTTCTACATTAAGAAATAATTTGTCAAGCAGTATTTTTGTACTGATGAAAGTGCATTATAAGATTTAAGTTATTGTTAAGCTGCGTTCACACCGGGCGCGAGTGAAGTGAATTACACGCGCATGACATAAGTAACGCGCCGCCTGTAACGCCCGAGTTTGGACGCCTGACCATTTTGTTAATTCGCGTCATCGCATCATTCGCGCGAGTATCGGGGAAGCCGGCTGTGCTAACCGGAGCTAAGCTAGTGCTAACGTTCATAGTACAACCATTCTGCAAACTAATTAAACACATATTTACAGAACTTACCAAGTAGAACAGTCTCCTCGGCAACTTTCACCCAAGCCTGCTCCTTTTTGTTGCGGTCTCTGCAGAGTAGACATGTAGTATCATATAGCTCCAGGTAGCCGCATACCGCAATGATAAGTTTCTCCTTCATCTCGGCATCAACAACTGGACGTCGGGGCGTCAAGACATCACTGACGACCATGGCAAGATAACCACCATCGCTGCTTTGTTGTTTACCTCCTCTGGAAGTCCCAGATGCGTCGGAGGGCCAAACGCCGTCGTTTTTGGGTTCACCCTTTCCTGCATAAGCGCATCCAGCTTGGCTAGTTTCACCACCTCCTCCAGGAACTCCGTCTGGATGATAGCCGCTTTCAGCGGTACTTCAGGCTGACTGGGGCCCAGTTTGAGGACCTGTTGGCGAGGGTTGGCGCCAGGATCTCCCGGCAGGACACCAACTACAGCCACTCCATTTCAGCTGCGGAGCGCTTGTCCATCTGTCTCCGGTGAGTAGCAGTTTACTGTTGTTGACACATGCCAGTGACGTCGGGAGAATCTCAACGCTGACTGGCTTTCGCGGCACAGCGTCATGCGAATTCGCCTCAAAAGTTCAATATTTTCAACTTGAGCGATGAGGCGTTTCCCAGGAGGAAACTGATGTTTTGGTCCGGGAGGTCCAAGCTGGCAGTGTCCGAATATACGGAACTGCGAGCAGACCTCCACGGGCTGATGATGCAAAGGTAGCCTGGGAGGAGGTCACCACAATTGTAAATCAATGATGCGTTTCTCTCGTGCGCGCGTGCGCTCTCTCTTTCTCTCTCTCAGTCTCACTCTGTTTCTTTTCTTTTGGCTTTTCTAAGATGACAGATGCTGAATATATACTCCCTATCTGATGCTGTGGCTGTTTGTGGTTGGCTGAGAGGGATGTGAACTCATTAGTTTGCAGCTGTGTTAATCAAATCAGGTTGGGTTTCCATTACGCGTGCCAAACGTGCCAAACAGTGCCAATCCCCTTTGATCTGACATCAGATGTGACGGGACAGTCGGTATAGAGATACATTTATGTGCTGATTGCAGATAGTTGCATTGAATTGTGTTTTTTGGGTATTTATTGCATTGTTAATGTGCCTGATATTCTGGAAACCTGCCTGTGAGGTTTTGGTGACGTGTGCGCACTGTCCGTCGGTCAGCCAAACTTCGGCTTACACTGGCTGTGCTCCGCCTGCACTGACAGTAGACGTGGTTTCAGTTGGCGAGCTTTTAGCGCACCTTCGGCGAAGCCTTTTGGCACGAAGATGTCACTGCGCCAAGCTGGATCTGTCGACACCTCCCCCTGCTGCGCCGCCACACCCATCTCAGCGCAACTCGGTCCGCCAAACTACCAAACTGAGAGCGCCTCGGGTTGCGCTGCTTGAAACGAGCTCTGCGCGGGGTTCGCCACCCTGCGCTGTGCTGGTAAACTAGAGCCCTCGATCGTAGCCTCTGCTCACATCCACATTCATAAATGCCAAGCTTTGCAAGGAAATGACACCCCCAGTTTTCTGTCATCAGCGGCGGACTTACCATTAGGCAAAACTAGGTGGTTGCCTGGGGCCCCAAGTTTCTGAGGGCCCCATAAAACTCCTCATACATTTATGGTTAATAGAGTTTTTTCTTATTTGCACACATTATTTATGATTTTGATTAAAATCCCTTCGCTAAAATGCCAGCAGAATGCTTATTGTATTATGTGTATCTCGGGACCCCCCCTTAAGTCCCCACTACATTGGACTAGTCCATCTTACTGCCGAAAGGATTCAGGAAGACAGCAGCAAAACAAACCAAAACAAATGGCTTGGCATGAAGCAGAGAAGAGAAAAAAAGAAGACAACGACAAAGTTGAAAAAATGAAAAGAAGTTACCCCAGTGGAGCTGAAGAAAGGAGAAAGAAGAAGGAGAGTAGGGGTGTCGATAGTTTAGTGGATAGTGCCGGCGCCCCATGTATGGAGGTGATGCCTCGCTGCAGCGGTCGCAAGTTCGACTCCGGCTTGCAACCCTTTGCTGCATGTCGTCCCCCCACTCTCTCTCTCTCTCCCCACTTCACAATCTTCACTCTGTCCTGTCCATTAAAGGCAAAACAGCCCAAAAAATAATCTTTAAAAAAAAAAGAATAAGGAGAGTAGAAAGCTTGTTTCAAAATTGCCAAAAGTCACTAGTGTTTTTCACCGTCACCAGGAACAACCAAGAACCGGCAGCAACGACGTTGAAATCCGTTCAGGAGGGTTCGTCGTGTGGAGATGAACAACTTGTGAGTAACGTTATCAAAACTGTCCAAGGGGTAAATTGTTAGGACATAAGAGGAAGGGAGAGTGAGACAAAGACAAGGACAAAAGGGAGATAAATACAAAGACTACGAGAAAAAGGAACAAAAGAAAAAAGGGAGAGGAATACAATGAGAAAATGGAACAGAAGAAAGAAAAAAGGGAGAGGAAGACAATGAGTAAAAGGACAGAAGTATGAAAAAGGAGAAAGATAATGACAAAAAGGGACAGGAAGAGAGACAAAAGTTAAAAAATAATACATGTGTATTCTGTTAAAATGTATCTGTATAATTGACCTGTTGTTGTTTTGTGTGTTATCTTCTCATTTCAGCACCGCAACATAGAGGACAGCATCTACTGGCTGAACCTGCTTGCTGCTGCCCATATTTGAGCTATGTACAGGTAAATCGTCTCTGTCACACATACAGTCATGAAAGTACAACTTATCTAGTGAAATCAATTCTCTGTATTTGACCCATCCTAAATATTCTATCAGAGAGCCTGCTGGTAAAAAATGATATGTGTATATAATATGTGTATATTCTGTTAAAATGTATGTATCTGTATAATTGACCTGTTGTTGTTTTGTGTGTTATATTCCCATTTCAGCACCACAACAATAAAAGGATCAATAAAAGGATGTGGAGGGCCCCATGCCTGTCTTTGCCTTGGGCCCCAAAATGACCAAATCCGCCACCGTCTGTCATACATTCATTTTATAAATGAATAAATGAAAGCCATTGTGTTTTTTTTTGTTTTGTTTTGTTTTTATTATTAATATTATTTTGTTTTATAAGCTAGTGGGGCTGCCGAATATTTTAGTTAATTATATATTTTGTAGAGATAGTTGCTTTATTATTTGTGAAAAAAAAAAAAAGAATAAAGTTTAAACGGCCAAATAAGTGCAGTTGGTAGCACAGCAGTGGGAGCTTAAAGTCAACCTGCCACTGTGGGTCAGACTGTAAATGGATCAGGGTGTCTGACCTGTGTGAACACAATCGAAACTGAAAACAAATAATGATAATAGCAAATAACACTCATTTGAAAACGAACATGAAACAGTCACTATCATCTTTTTATATTTTCCAAAACCACAAAGTTTAGATGATTTCCCTTTCTTATATCACTGAGCTCCAGAGAACCAATTGGAACGATCTGGTCAGTGTTTCCAACAGGAAACATATTCTCCCATCTGAGCATAGAGCAGGTCAGAGCCCTGAGAAAGAGATTGGATCTAAATTGCTCCAATCTTGGCGTTAGATAACAGCGCAGGCACCCCTGCTGCTGCTCTGCTGCACGGCTCCACATCACCACACAATCACAGGTGCGGTAATGAGAGGGCTACAGGTTCGCTCTTCATTATTTAGTCTGTTAAAAATGTTGCCCTTTGACGTGCCTTTTCCCAGAAAAGTCGCCCCCCAAAACAGCAGCAAGGCCCTCCAGAGCCTCTTAATCAGCCGTGGGTGTTGTCGAGGTTAATCTGTATTGTTCATGGCGATGTGAGAAGAGGGGTGGGTCTCCCCTGATCCCCTTATAGCCGCTTCCTAACAGCCAGCAAACATCCCATGGCACGTCTTGTTTACGTAGCCCTGCAGTGGGACTCTGTTGTTGTGCTTGTGTCATGGACACAGAGATAACCTCCGTCCAACAAGGAGTTTAATTGCTTGCCCCCTGCGTTGGCAGGATCAGAGGAGAGGAGGAGGAGGAAAGAGCTGTGCAATCGGTCTCATGGGGCTAACTCCATCTAAAAGCCCACTGACATGACCATAAGGCAACAAACAGCAGCATATGTACTAAAATTATATTTATATCTTATTATTATAGGAGAAAGGAATATAAACTGATTTCAGTATAAACATGGGGGAGCTGATAAAGGGCTGATGGTTCCTCCTCTGGACCGAGCAATTTTACTGCCAGTGCTGTTTGCTAAAAACTTTTTAATAGCTCTGTGGGAAATTAGACATAATATTTTTCTTTTTTCAAAATAAATTCACTCCCACAGCAAGAAACTAATAGTGGACTAGATGTCACCTTGTTTCAGGGAAGAGGTCATGAAGTAAATAATGTGGGTGGTGCTGATCCCTGACCACCTGCCATGATCCGAATCCCGTTTTTAAATTAATTATGCTAACCTTTTTGGAGTATCAGATAACTATGGTAACACAGAAACATGAGGGGTCAGAAGTCTGGATAACCACAGGGAAGCATTGAGGTGAACTTGGTGTAACTTTCAGCGATTTACCAAACATTTAACCTTTGCTGCACTCGAGGTTTAAAGGTATACTATATAACATTACTGCATTAAAATGCCCAGAAACAACTGGACCTACTTTGCTGAGCTGTGTACTTACATGATCCTTACTATTTCCGTGAATTGTCCAACCCAGAGAAGTGTGTAGTTTTATTCAAGAAGCAGTGTGTGTCATTTAGTGTCGGTCAATGGTATCTTATCCCCTTCTCCCCCTCTAGTTTATGTATGCAACACAGTAATCCAGTAAAAAACAAATTTATTGATATGATCCAATACTGACTCAGCTTACTACAATGTGCTTCTATGACAAGAGGCTCATGCCAGGGACCAAGTTAACGTGTCTGGAGGGGATCATGGGCTGCTTGTGTGTGTGTATGTGTGTGAGTGTATGTATCTGTCTGCCTGCAGCTAATCTCGAGTACTGGACCAGTCAGTCTAATATTTGGTGTGCACATTTATGACTGTATGTTCAAGGATCTCTCATAATTGCAGTGATTCACAATTGTTGAAAAACTTGTTTTATTGACTGTTTTATAGCATCATTGACTGCTGACTCCTCACTCCTCTTTTAACTGCTTGGCTGTGAGTTTTAGGGAAATTGGCTCAGCTAAAAACAACAAGCCTTGCCGTCTGTTACAGGCCTCATTTTGGCCTTTACTGTGGTTCCAAAAACTTAAATCCACAGACGAGTTTGGTCTCATTTTCAACAGGAGCATCTGCAGATTAAATCCATACCTGATATGTTATGATCCACTAAAATTAGGCACGGACGAGATGAAAAAAAAAAAATCACCCCCTTTTTTTTTAATCCATCTTTGCTGCCATCTTGACTGTAAGGGGGCATAGAGGGACAAATCTAACAGGTGCAGCATGGCTATGCTCTGGCTTCCATGGCTGCAACTCGGTTTTGGTCCGTATGGTGTCACACCACACCGGGAGCTTCTCAAAAATGAAGCACTTTGCCTGCCCAGTTTTTTAGACTTGCAGATTTTGTTGATTTAGTCCTTTTTCTTGATATTTCTGTTTTTACCATAAGGTCTTGATCACATAGAAAGCATTTTAACAGCTAGAGGCAGCTTTTTATAATTGTTTTTAATGAGAATGAAGTTTTATTTATTTATTTTTTTTGTGTGTGTGTTGTGTTGCACCTCGAGGCACCGGCTGATTTTGCCAGAGTGCTCTGAACTCCTCAAATTGAAAAAAACAACACCGAAAAGCACCCCACGTCATCTCTTTTTTTCGTCATCTTTTTTCTCATTGTCCAATTGGATGATCTGAGAGCTGGCCTTCTGTGGTGGTCACAACAAGTTTACAGTAAACAATAGAAGGGAAACTGGTGATAGTGGTTGCTGGATACCAGAGCATGTGAGCGGAGCTGGGAGCGGGAGGATTTTGTGTTGAGCGAAGGAGCGGCTATTTTTTTAAAAGGTGGAGCGGAGCCTTATCTCTCGCTCCAATTTCGCTCCAGTCGCTCATGCCCCACCCAGAATGCATCTTTGCACCTGCGCACACCCACACTGTTTTCTTTCAAAACTATGGAGTTTACTGTGTACTTCAGAAAAGAAACTGAGAAGAGAAGCAGCGGTACCTTGGAGAACGGTCCCTAACTGCGGGGAGAGGCGAGAGGGCTTCCCCGGAAAATCTACCAAGCTCATGTTTTATTGGTGCCGTAGCATTGTTCCGACCTCTCATTAGTCCGATGTCCCGTTGTTCCGATATGTGATTATACAAGGCTATACTGTATTTGTGTACCATAGAGGATCATTCAGCAACGCAACAAAAGGAGGCTACTGGTTGAGATACAAGTGTCATAGAGAGGAGAGAATGAAACACCATAACCTCCTGTTATTAACTCTGGGGTCCGGGTTGTGTGGGGAGCTCTGTGCTGAACAGCTCCCGGCGGGCGTATTTCTGCCTTGATGGTGCGCTGCGACCGGCTCTGGGTCAGCGGGGAAAGGCTTGAGGCGAAGCACGCACACGGCTTATGTGTTTGTCACTTTCTTTTTCATTTTAACCCACACCATGATCTTTTCCTAACCCTAACCAAGTGGTTTTTGTGCCTAAACCTAACCAAACCTTAACCACAGGGCATCATGATGATTTCGGAACAACGGGACTTCGGAACAATGAGTTTAATATGGTCGGAACAATGGGATGTCGGACCAATGGGCTGTTGGAAAAATGGGCAGACCCCGTTTTATTTGTGAATAGAAGATTACAGGTTAGGGTAGTACAATGCAGTTTTTTTGAGTGGTGAGCGAGTGGAGCGGGATAAAATTTATGATGGAGCGGAGCAGAGCGAAGAATGTGCAGAACCAAGCGGAGTGGACGAGCAGTGCAAAGTGACAGGTCTGCGAGCAAGGAGCGGAAATTTTCACCCTCTCCGCTCACATGCTCTGCTGGATACCCAGAGCTATATGGCTCGACGATAGACAGCAGGTTGTCAAACTGCCCCCGGGTCATCCTGAAATATGCCTGGAAACAGTCATCATGGAGGCGAAGCTCCTGGACCAACTGGTGGTACTCCCCATGATCCACCATCTTTTATAGGGTAGCTATCATCTACCCACACAGATCTCCGTTTCCCTGTGCCCAACAAACTATTTGCTGATAGCCTCTCACCCTCGACCAGAGGCTCTCACAGAATGACATGAAATAACATGACTGAACAGGACTAATGGAACGTGAATAAAACTTTAATGCATTTCCCCATCTGTGAACATAGATAAATAAATAAATCTGATGGATTTTTATAGGCAATGGTGGTTGTTTAACAATGAGGACAAGAACTCCCATGACCCCATGCTACTTCAAGATCTCATTACAGTTTTTCTGTTGTTATTGTTTGAATCGAGAGACCCCCAGTGTCAGAAATTACATACTGTGCATTTTACTGAATGCCCAATTAAGTTTAATCAGTTGCATCAAAATGTGTCACAGTTCTCATCAAATTATCATCAATACTTGTTGCAGCAAGCACAAAGGAATAAACTCAAATTCCACATTTACTATTCTTTTCTTGTTGCTGCTACAAAAGTAAAATGCCTCATTTATTGTGTGCTACAGCATTTAGGGACTTTAGAACAAAAGCATTAATAAACAGTATGGGATGACTCACAACTCTTTTTGTATAGCAGTGCAGAAAAGTTCAGCTGTGGTTAAAAAGGCAGGAGTGCAGTTCTTTTTTTTTCACCTTTAAATGCAAATATGAATTATTGATATCAGTGTAGTTGGAATGAAATTAGAATATATACACAGCGTTCATATTTAATCAAACATAATAATGTTTTTTTAAAGAATAATCATCAAACCCAAAATGAACTTAGATGCATTCGTAAAGCATGTTCACCGGTGCAAGTTCACTATGAGCTCATTTGTTGAATGTCATTAGTTTAGTATGTTCACCTCCCCATGCAAATGGGGTGCATTAATCATTAGCTGTATTTTGCATAAAGGAACAACCAAGTGCACACTGTTGCCTGTGATAGGTAACAGA